TGTGTGATTAATAAAAATTAATTCCCAGTACATACGTACAAGTAGTCTCATACTTCCTTATATGGCACTTGCTCAATGCACATTCCTGAGAGTGTAATTTTGAGTGGGCGGCCTCCTTCAATGTGGCACTTGAGGTTATCATAACGAATGTCACTCTGCATTCCCCTCGGATGAAATATCAGATCAAATGGAACCTACAGCATAAAAGAATAAATGATGTATGTGCACATGTACATGTAATGTATGCAGTACATGCAAAAATTTAAGTGGATTAGCAGAATGTACCTCCATTCCAGGTGAGATGTAGCCACTTGTTGGAAAAATAGAGAAATCTGGTGCAAACTTCTCAGCATCCCAATTAAATCTGAAATAGAAAGTTTTTATGCATTAATACTCTTGACAATGATAATAATAATAATAGTAATATTAGTCTCTACTACACTGACTTGGCTCCAATATCCCCAGTGTTCATCATTAGTATACGCCTACAGCTCCTACTGTTCATTACAACTGCACCAAACGGGACATGATCAGAGTCTAGTGATATCTCTAATCCTTGACATGATCCCCTCACAACAAACAAAGGATACGAGAGGCCATGACTCTCCATTATTACCTGTAGCATAAAGATAAACATTAAATCACAGAATGTTACATTAATTTTAGCGATAGCACTACATTTAGCTCTTTTTGATTAGTACATTACCTCTTCAGAGAATTGAGGGACTCTACTAGTTGGACAGAACAATACTTCAGCGGTTACAGCCTCTTTTGGTTTAAGTGTGATCTCTTTATCAGGTCCTAACTGCTGAAGTTTGTTAGGGCAGAGAGAGACAGAGAGGACTCCAGCCTCCTGCAGTGCCGGTACTTGAGCACTGGGTACAATATTAACAGTGAATGTCACTGCTAACGGACTCTTGTTCACTAGTTTAACTTTCTTGCTGGATTTCTCATGGACTATCAGTGCTCCAATGTTGACCACTTTCTGCAGTGCCTCAACCTAAATTATAAAAAAATACATGTACATGAACACAGTAGTAATGTAATGGGAATGACAAACCTTAACAAGTGCTCCTTGTCCAGTAATGGTAACTGTTTTCTTGCAAATCCCATTTATCTCAAACACCATATTTTCTGAGTACCTGATTGGCTCCTGAGGCCTGAAATAGCAGTCAATCTCCATGCATTCCTCAGGCTCCAGTATCTGAGGCTCAAAGAGGAGATCAAGGTATGGGTTCTTAATGTAATTGCAGTCAATACTCAGCTCCTTCACATCCTTGTTTGTGATGGAAATGGTCGTGACGTTGGGAGGCATGTTAGGATGGTGAAGGAAACGTGGACCGAAATCATACTCAGTGAAACCAAATTCAACGCTTGGCTCTATGCCACAGCCTTTTAATGTTATAGGCAGTATTGGACCGTTTGATATCTGTGCATGAGAGAAAGAGAGGTAGCTTCATAATTAATTATACTGATCATGTACATGTACATGTAAATGTACATGAAAGCTACATTACTGGTATAACATGCATGTAGCTGGTATGTTAGTGAGTTAGCCAGCTACATGTACCTGTGTAGGATCATAATTTTACAGTGGTGCATTTTATTTATATTTTAAAAAGTGCATTCATTTCCTAGTTTATTGTTTCTGAAACTTGACTTTGTTATTTACTTAAACTATTAAAAAACAAAAAAAAAGCAGAGGGGAAGGGACAAAGATTAAGACTTAATGTAAACACATCAGCGAATGTATAGTTCAATAATATCAATTGGAGTGGCTTCATCAGGATACCCTTCACTGCTACACATCCTCAGCTCAATATCATCATCAGTTGAATTGGCTATTGACCTAACAAACCACGGCATGCCAGTAGAATTACAACAAGGAGACTCCAGGTTATTGCACTGCAGCCCATCCCACAGTGGATCATCAGGATACAGTCTACCATCAGTAAGATTGGTATCTATTGTTCCAGCCTCACAATAATAATCATTACCAACAAAATTTGGCGT